AAATATACAAAAATACGAAAAATGTACTGAATTTTCTTATTTTTTTAATATTTTTTGGTATAGTGTATTTTTTAAATATTTTTTTCACGAATATTATACTTTTTAAGTATATTTATGTTGGGTGTGTCTAAAAATTAAAAAAAATTACTTAAAATATTAAAAAAATTCACTGAAAGTATTAAAATACAAAAAATAAAAAAACAATTTTTTTTAAAAATAATTTTTGAAAATCAAAACCAAACAAAGTGAATAATAGTATAAATTTAGATTTAATTATTTAAAATTATTATCTATTTTACATATAAATTTTATACTACATAAATTTAATTTCTATCACACAATTTCACAACTAAAAAAATCTAAATGGTTAGAGCATCTCCAATGCACTAGGCATATAATACTTGTTAGTTAAAATGCCTAGTGTGATTCACTTTTTTCAATTTCAATGCACTAGGTATATGATTAGGCATTTTGGCTCAACTCATATTCACTAGCTACATGTAGCTAGTCTTCAACGCTAGGCATAATGTATTAAATCATTAAGATCATTTCCCTCCATCTTTGTTGTTGACGTGGCATTCTATAAAATTAATAGTATTTGAATAAATAGCTAAAATAAAGAGCATGGTTGGAGTAAAAATATAAAACAGTTGATAGGCAAAATAAAATATATACTTTATAGTAATATTTAGATAGGTAAAATGCCTACTACCGTTGGAGATGATCTTAGGTCGGATCCTAGACTTTTTCAATAGAAATGCATGTTACTTTCCATGACAGAAGGCTTTTTTTAGGCAAATCCATTCACGTTTCTGTGGATGAGTCACAAAATCTATACATATAACACAAGGGCATGGGTTCTTTTAAAGGGGACAGGATCGGTCTCCTGTTAGGAGATCCAACTGGACCATACCCGTGGGTCTTGGTTGATCAATCACACCTTACTTGAACAGTTTATTTTATAAAATATTTTAAGTATTTAAGTTTTGTTTGGGAATATATTATTTTAATATTTTTTTGTATATATAAAAAAAATAGAGAGAGTGATAAGTTTTTAAAAGTAATCAAACCAAACAAATTTTTCTAAAAAAATTTCTCAAAACTTGTAAACCAAACAAGTTTTCCAAACAAATCTCTCTCTCTCTCACACATCAAATCAATCACTTTTTCCAAAACTCTCTCTCAAAATAATTTTCCAAAACATCTTTTGAAAAAAACCAAACCAAACAACTTTTCGTACTTTTTATCTCTAAAACACATCTCTCAAACACAAACCAAACATACCCATTATCCCCAAGCAAGACCTTAGATAAAGAGTGAAATTAATTGAATATCTATAATCATATGATTATATCATATATTTTTTTAAATAAAAAATAATTTATTATCAAAATTATAGTTGTTGTCCACTATTTTAAATATAAATATGATCTAATCATATAATTATCATTATATAATTAATTTTACTTTTTGCATGACCGATATGTACAAAATGAATGATGAAATTATTAAGGTATCAAAGGTGTTTTGGAAAAAAAAAAAAATTTATTTTTTATTTTTTGTTTTAAGTTGTTTTTTTTTTTTGCAAAATTATGTCAAAATTTTTTATTTTTCTGATCTATCTTGTGTATACGAATTTAAAAAGTAAAAAAAAAAAATTGAAAATTTTCAAAAATAAAAAAACCTAAAAAAGACTAATTATTTTTTGCCCCTTTTTTTGGGTCTTTTTTTGAATTTTTTTAGTTTTCCGGACTATCCAGTTGAGTAGAATTCATAAGCTTAAAACTTTAAAAAAAACAAAAACAAAAACAAAAACAAACAAACAAACAAATTAAAAAAAAACAAAAAATCATGAATAAAAGCGAACCAAACCACCCTCCCCCCCTTCAAACTCGCACTCATATAGTCTGCCCCATTTAATGGACACCTAATCTTCTTTTCTAAGCTTTTGCACCCATGAAACCATCCATGGCTAACAGTTTTTTCCATACAGGATGGGAAAAAAGCAGTTGTCATGAGAAAATATTTATATTCTACTACTTTCTACTTTTTCTTACAATCATGTTATCAAAACCCTACATCTTATTTATATGTACATGTAAAATTGTACACATCATCAATTTGTTAACTTTATCAATTAGGTAGTATTTGGTTCACTATAATGAAACAAAATAGAATGATTATTTTATCAAAATATTCATTCTTATGTTTAATTGACCAAAAAAATAATAATAGCAAAATGCGTTATAAATAAAATCATCATTTACCATTTCAAGAGAATGATCATTCCATATGAGAGTATAATGACTGATCATTTTATTTCAATCCATTCTAACTCATTTTAGTATATCAAATAGAAGGTTGATTTTATTCACTAATTTTATAACGGTGAACATTATCATTTTTTTTTATTACTATGATTCACTTCTTTCACCATAAAGTTTAATGAATAAAATTGTTTTTTATTGTGATTATTCGTATTTTACTTGGTTCGTGCATATGATTGTTGGCGGCTCACATTAGATCCAACTTAGTTGTTATTGTATTTAGATCTTAATCTTTAGGTGCAGTTGGGGTGTTGTAGGATGTATTCCTTTCAAATTTTAGGTTTAACTAAGGTCGTAAACGAGTTGAGTAAAGTCGATCTGTAGTATGTTTGGATTTGTTTGTTAAGATTTTAACAAATTTGAACTCGATCTCAATAAAAATTTAACGATCCGAGCTCGAACTAAGTTGGCTTAGACTTGATTCGAGTTCGCACCTATTCACGAGTCTTAATAAGTCAAAATTTTTTATAAATTCATACTTGTATATCAGATTAAAATTACAATTAAAATTTTGATTATACATTATATTTATATATAAACATACTAAAAAAATTAATATTTTACTAAAATAATAATATCTACTACTACTATTATATAAATGTACTATCTATAGTTAATTATTGTTTACATTCATATTTTTTAAATATGTAAATAACATATTTATCTTATTTTTTATACATATTTTTACATTATTAAATATATAAATAAAAAATGTTAAACGAGCTAGCTAACGAGTTGAATGTTAGCATGTTTGGATTTGTTTATTAAAAATTTAATGAGTTCGAGCTTGAACGCTAAAAAAAATTTAATGAACCGAGTTCAAACAAACTCATATACCAAGCAGAAGTCAAATCTATTCATGAATGACTCTGTTTATTTGCAGTTCTAGGTTCAACTCTCACTAAGTACTATCAACTCCTTGGAATTATGCGTACGGGCTCTTTCCATATGAAGGGAACACTTTACATAAATTCCAAAAATTAATTGAGATGCACATAATTCGACCCGAACATCCTGCTATCAAAAAGAGTTGTTTTTTATAAAAAAATCCTTCAACTTTTTCACAGGTTCAGGATAGTGCTCCTTACAAAAATCATCAAGGTGTCTTGTTGTCTGTTCTGAGTAAGGACACTATAATTTGAGAATTTGCTCCGACCTTGACCTCACAAAAAAAAGTTCTGCTTAAGTCAGGACTCGCGCAGTAAGAGAGCATTGGACCCACACAAAGTGCTGTGATAGCAACAACTTAAAGCTAACCTCTTAATCAATTACGCTACGCCCAAAAAATTGGCCCAAAAATTTCGAATTTAAGACTTAAAATCTTAATCCCCAAATCTTTACTAAGTTACCAAACACCATTAAGTCATCAAAAAGAATTATATTACAAAGAACTCTTGATATGAACCGCTTTTAACAGAAACAACTGCAATATTTACTTTTGTCTATTTTGATGATAAAACGTAATGTCATTCTTGCCCCCTACACATAAGCCAAATAACATTTTCTTATGCATCAACATGTATTTCCTCTTCACCTTATTGTGGGCTCCACTAATCTTTTTTATTTAAGGCAAAATTATAAATAGATGAGACAATTGTAAAAAATAATTATTTTGGGATCCACTAATCTTTTTTCCTTTTTACCTTTTTTCGTGTTTTTTTTTATTTATTTTTAGTGAATCTTTTCAAAATTTTAGGTAATATTTTGTCTTTTTTAGATTTACCTAAATGTATCTAAAAAGTAAAAATTTTAAAAAAAATTTCAAAATTAATAAATATACTAGAATACGAAAAATGTACTGAATTTTTATTTTTATTATTTTTTATATTTTTGGTATTAGTGAATTTTTTAAATATTCTTTTAAAAAATATTATATTTTTTAAGTGTATTTATGTTAGATGTATCTTAAATTAAAAAATTACTTAAAATATTATAAAAAAAAATCAATGATAGTAAAAAAATACAGAAAACAAAAATTTTCAATTTTCTGAAAAGTAAATTTAGAAAACTCAAATCAAATAAGTTGAATTGCACTATAAATCAAATGTAATATTTATTTTGTGTATTTTAACATAGACAAAATGTCAATAAGTTCCACTTTTTTTTTTTTTCTTAGAAAAGTCAAAAAAGCCAAAACAATTAAACCAAACAAAGTTTTAATCCCAAGTTAAAATAACTATGGATTATTTTGGGAAGTTAGTTAAAAGTTAATTTTTTATTTATTTTTTGTTTGACAAAATGTATAAAAAAGTACAAATGTGATGTGATGCAAAATAGGTTAAAAGACAAAATTTAACTTTTAGCCATCTTCCCAACAGAGCCTTAAAAAGCTAAAATACTAACTAAAAAAGGTAAATTACCAAATGGCAACTTAATTTGTAGTGTAATTATTTTGGGGTAAGTCTTTTATTTTGTGGTTTAGGGTTTTGTGTATTTTAAGCCAAACATAATTTAATTTGTTGTATTTTAACTAGCGCACAACCCTCGCTTGTTTTGAGAGGTAGAAAAAAAAGTTCATTTATTAATTTTTTTTGACTTTTAAAAAAAAATGTAATTTAACTAAATTAATAAACTAATAAATTGATTTTTTTTTTCTCTCAAAAGAAGCTAAAAATGAAATTATTTGCATTGAAATGAAATTTTCCCTTTTATTTATATCATCTGTACTGCCATACTCTGCTCTCCATGATGTACCTCTGTCTCTCTCTCTTTTTCTCTCTCAACCCTGCATTTACCCATTACAATAATTCTTCTTTCTCTATCCACTCTTTTTCTTATCTTGGTTCCATCTTCATGGCTTTCTTTCTTTCACTTCTTCTCATCCTTATGGTTCCATCAACAAGCCAAGCTTCCTATTGGCCACCCTCACCTGGCTACTACCCAAGCACCAAGTTCAGGTCTATGAGCTTTTACCAAGGCTATAGAAACCTCTGGGGTCCTCAGCATCAAAGAATGGACAGTAATGCCTTGGCAATCTGGCTTGATAGCACCTCAGGTCTATAGATACCTCACATTTTGTATATCCATGTTTGTGTTGTGACTTTGTTTCTTGGTAAAGCATTTGAAATTCTTTGTGGGTATTTTATATTTTTCTTTGTTTTTCTTGATTGATTTATGGTAACAGGAAGTGGGTTCAAGTCGGTTCGCCCGTTTCGATCCGGGTATTTTGGTGCCAACATCAAGCTTCAACCTGGATACACTGCTGGAGTTATTACAGCTTTCTACGTGAGAAATTAAAAATGAATTAATTCTGAATTGTACTAAGTTCTTCTAGCATTATAGTCATATGTGTTGTTTAATGAATTAGACTAGTAAATATGTTTTTCATTAATCATATTAGTTCATGAACTAGGAAGGACAGGATGAACTATCGGTAAGATTTGTCATCAGTGTTTGTAATGGTGTTAGTTCGAATCACGAATATATTCTTTTAAAAATAAAAATAAAGTTGAATTTATCTTGTTCTAATCAGATCCTATTTTAATGTGAATTTTATGTACTGAATTGCCCTTTTGCCTAACAATTTCTTGTAAATTGCCACTATACAACTTTCACTCTCTTTTGAATTTATTTTTTATTTTAATCCCATGATACATCAACGAAGTATTAAATGTTTGCAGTATATACAAAGTTCATTAAATAAAAAGTTTAATGATTAATTAAATCTTATGAACATGTTATATAATTTCAATTGATCTTTCTAGTTCATGACGAATTGTATTGCAATGACAGCTTTCAAACAATGAAGTTCATCCAGGGTACCATGATGAGGTGGACATAGAATTCCTTGGGACAACATTTGGGAAGCCATATACACTACAGACAAATGTTTACATCAGAGGAAGTGGGGATGGGAGGATTATTGGGAGAGAAATGAAGTTTCATCTATGGTTTGATCCTACTAAAAATTTCCATCACTATGCCATACTATGGAGTCCTAAGGAGCTCATGTAAGTAAAGTATTCATATAACTTGTGATAAATAATGTTATACTGATCGCATTTTTTAATATATTTCGTTAATTAATTACATGACTTGTCAACGCGAGTGGTAAAACACATTAAACTAATATGGTGTAATATATGAGATGATAATTAACTTTAATACATAAACGTGAATCATTATAACATTCCTAATTCACGAACCAAGCTAATTAGTGATTTTAATGGTAATAGTCTCAATTTTACTGAGGTTAATTGAGGAGGTGTATGGGTAGGGAGTGGATCCTACGTTATCATTTTCTTTGTCCCCTGTCCTGTATCAAACTCACTTCCCTACCATATTCATGAATCATTAAGGCCAATTATTGTACTTGTTTGATTAATTTGAATTTGCATTGTCACATAAAAAATATTAAAAGAAGGAATAATTGCACCAAAGTGGATGTCAGAATTTTTTTTTACAAAAAAATAATATGCATTATAAGCATTAATTATTAAAATCATAAAGTTTTCTACTGATGTATAATTATTTAAAAAAAAAAAAAAAAAACCCCCCTGAGTGAGTAGCAATTTCCTCTAAGGAAGAAAAAAAAATGGAAGAAAAACTCCATATCTTTTTGTACTAATTTCTTCAATTTATTTCTTCAGATTCCTTGTGGACGATGTGCCCATAAGGAGGTACCTAAGGAAGAGTGCAGCAACATTTCCACTAAGGCCAATGTGGGTTTATGGGTCCATATGGGATGCCTCATCTTGGGCTACAGAGGAAGGAAAATACAAGGCTGATTATAGGTACCAACCATTTGTTGGCATGTACACGAATTTTAAAGCAACTGGTTGTTCAGCCTATGCTCCACGGTGGTGCCGACCTGTCTCTGCCTCCCCTTACCGGACTGGTGGTCTCACCAGAAGGCAATTCATGGCCATGAGATGGGTCCAAAGTCACTCCTTGGTTTACGACTATTGCAAGGACCCTAAGAGGGATCATTCCCTAACACCGGAATGTTGGGGTTAAAAATGAAGTCGTTTACTTAAATACCAAATATTTATTCAAAGTAATATATTTTTAAAAAAATCAAAAAAATTGTTCAGAATTTAAATTTATAGATCAAATTCAATTTGAATGCGATCATACTATATTAAATGAAATTCTGAACATTTTTTTTTTTTAAATTTTTATTTTGGGTTTTTAGTAACCTTTGATTACTTCTTTTGTAAACACTTTTCTTGGGGTGCCTTGAGATGGGTCCAGTGGGTCAATTGGAAGGGTAGTTGAGCATCCAAGCATACAACCAAAAAGAAACAATTTTTCTTCAAAATTTGTGTGGCCTTTGGTATGGTAGTTTTAGATACAAGAGAGAGAGAGAGATGAATAAGAGAGAGAGAGAGAGAGAGAGAGAGAGAAGATAGGGAACAGATGAAGCCAAAGAGATGGGGTCATGATATTTGATCATTGAGGAGTGAGGGGCTTTCACATGTCATTTCTAAATAAAGCTTTCTAAATAAAGCATGAAAGCTTTATCTTATTTTTATATTGTATTGTTATTATTATGTGTAAGGAATTTGATTTCATGAAAGTTGGTGCAATTTATGATTGAACCTGGCTGGATTTTTTTCTTGTTCTTCTTCATTTATTTCTCCAGTATAGTTTTTATGACGCTCCTCTGGAATATTTCCTGTTACAGTATAAAAAAAAATGACTTTATAAAAACTTTTTAAATTTTAAATTTCAGAAATTAAAATCATAAATTTATAAATTCAAAAATAAAAAGAAGGGATAAAAAAAAGTTCGAAAATGTGACCTAGTAAATAATGGCACTCTCATAATTTTGGCTCAAGAAATCCAATATTTTGCCTACGAGCTCAAAATGTGATAGAGCAACCAAATATTATTTATTAGGGTAAATTACACTAAACTTTATTGAGATTAGAAAATAATAATAATAAGTTTTACAATTTTTACATAATTATACACAATTTTCTTTTAGTAAGACAAAATAGATCAAAACTAATACAGATAATGCAAAAACACAAAAATAAACAACATAAAGTATAAATTTTTTGTATAAAAGAGATGACGATATCATTTTTTCATTAATATAACAAATTGTTGATGAAAATAGGATAAAATGTTATATGAATTAATATCTAAATAGAGTTCAATATAATTATATCAAAATTGTAAGATTTACTATATTTTCTTCAAAATTTAAGGGGTAAGCATAATACCCCCCTCCCTTTTTCTTTTTTTTTTGGGAAATTAGTCTTTACACATAAATGTGAGAAAATTTGTATACCTTCTCTCTTTCAGATCTTGTGCAATCAACTCGATTTTTTTAATATTATTATTTATCAATCTGCAATTTATATTGGGTAAATCAATTTTTTTTTAATAGATAAACTATCAAAAAGTCTTAATAATGAAACTTAATTCCCATCAAATCCTATTAAAAAAGAGTTTTAGTAAAATCGTTGTTAAAAATAATTTTTTGTGACTATTTTTTTACATATGTCGCTAAAAATTGACAATTAATGACTTTTTTTTTGTCATGATTTTAATAAATTATCGCTAAAACTTATAATTAGTGACTTTTTTTATAACGAAATTTTCAAACTGTCACTGAAGTTGAAAATTAGTGACTTTTTTTGTGACGATTTTTTTAAATTATCTCTAAAATTTATTATTAGTGGCATTTTTAATAACAAAATTTTTAAACTGTCACTAAAAATTAATATTTAGTGATATTTTGTTAATAGTGTTTGATGAAAAATGTCATTAATTATCATAGAATCTATTGTACAATAAGTCAATTTATTAAGACCTACACGTAAATCTTTTTTATTTTATTTTATTTTATTATTTTTAAATGAGATAGAGAGTAAGGAAAGAGAAACTACGGCTCTGTTTGGTTGCATTCTCAAAATATATTTCCACCTGTACATTTACGCTTCATGTTTGGATACAATTTTCAAATCGTAATTCCACTATAAATTCAAAATATATCTCTACTATCCGTTTGACAGATTTCTCCCTTCGTTTCTCCATTGTAAAAAAAACTTCCAACAGAACATACTCTGTGTCTTCAATATTCTCCATTTCAGAAAAGCTTCACATGAAAGAAATTTAAAACTAAATTTCTGAAAAGTTTCACCTAGAAAGAAATTTAAAGTTGAACTTTACGAGTCGTCTTCCTCTCTTTCAATGATCACAGCTCAAGATTCTTCACGAGTCGTGTTGTTCTCTGTGAACTGAGACTTTCCAAACTAAATTATGTCTGTGAATCCCCTCTCCACCCATAAAATCGTATCTACCAACTCCCACAAATCAAATAAGTTGCAGTTTGTGCGTTGTGGAAGATTCACTCTCCGAGCAACGAAACAACGACAAGATTGAGGTCAATTATATCACAAATTTCTCTCAAATTTTAAATTACAACTCATTGATTTCCTCAAACATCCCCAAATTCATTCCCAATTTATGTGTGTTAGGCCAAATTTGTGAAGCGTATTCTCTAATCAGACGCCTACCGAAGAAGTGCACATCCACCCACTCTACCCACTCCATCACCGGTGACAACTATTCCACTCCTACTGCTCTGGTACATATATCTTTGAATCAATCTGCTAGTCGTATGTCCTTCAATCCTTCAATCGATCTGCTATGTTATAACTGAGAAGCAGAAATGGTTCTGATTTGTCAAACCGGTCAACCGCCAAGACAACTAGCTGGTTGTCTCACCGGTCTTCCAGCCGGTCGACCACCAGCCCACCTTCATTTCCTCTAGGTCAACCGCCACTTATTCCCTTTGATATTTCTCTTCTTCTTCTGCTCTCCTTCTGCTTATTGTCTACTGTATACACTTCTTTTACAAACTTTTTACGTGTAATATTCTGCTTTTTCTTGTTATATTTGTTTTTTCCAACACTGTTAATAACTTCAATTGATGAATTTTTTTTCTTAACAATATTCTGCTTTTTCTTGTTGTATCTGTTTTTCCCAATACTGTTAACACTTCAATTGATGAACTTTTTTTTCCTACCGAAACATTTATATCGTTAAGATTCTAGTCTAATAGGATTGCAAACGAGCCGAGCCGAACTGAACTTTAGTATGTTTAAGCTTGTTTATTAAGATTTTAACAAACTTGAACTCAATAAAAATTTAATGAACCGAGCTCGAGTCTTAACAAGTCAAAAAATTTATAAATTCATACTTATGAGATTAAAGTTACAATTAAAACTTTGATTATATAATTATATAATATATATATATATATAAACATACTTAAAAAAAAATCAATATTTTACCAAAATAATAATATATATTACTACAATTAAATAAATGTACTATCTATAGTTAATTATTATTTAAATTTATATTTTAAATATATAAATAACATATTTATCTTATTTTTTACACACATTTTTACATTATTTAATATATATAAATAATAAATATTAAATGAGTTAGCTAACGAGCCGAGGTTTAGAATATTTAGGCTTATTTATTAAAAATTTAACGAGCTCGAATGAGCCGAGTTCAAGCCTGTACACGAACAAATCTGTTCATTTGCAGTCCTATAGCCTAAGCATTTATGCCTAGTAAAGAAGCACCTCAATCATATTAGTTCTATGTGTATTGCTCAATCACATTTTAAATTTGAATAGTAATGTTTAGTTAAAAATTTTGAGAAAAAATATTTCTAAAAACACACTAAAAATTAAAAATCATTAAAATTTTCTTATGATGTAGATTTATGTATAGGAGCCCAAAAAATGCTTTTGTAGATCCACATCTTGATTGAGAGGGGACCAAACAATTCGGGGGACTGATTATAAACATTACAGGCGACATCTTAACAAACACATCTATCTGTATGCTCTGGTCCTCAATAAATAAATAAATAAATATATATATTACATAAAACACAACGTTAAAAAAAATTTGTCACATTTTTTTTTATTGAAAAATATTTGAAAATTCTAATTGAGTACCACTCCAATTTACTCTCAATGAATAGACTATGTGAAAGGGGATCCACACTTCTCTCTATGTCTCTTTACTCTCTCTTTTTCACCTCATTAGAGGTTAAAATAGAGTAATGTATTAGGATATGTAGCACTACTCTTTTTTATTTATCCAAAATACCTTTAGAATAGGTAACTACTAACACTTCAACCAGTAATTGTTGATTGATTCTCTATTCAATTCTCTCATTCATTAAATTGCTTGCCGAAAAGATTAAATGTACAACTGAAAACGCATCACCTTTGCACGTATCACTAATAGATATATAGGGGAGAGAGAGAGAGAGAGAGAGAAAGACTATTTCAAATAATTATAAAAAAAGATTAGGCTATATGAGGCATGAAATGAAACAAATGGGGTAGTTGGTGGGGGAGCTTTTAAGTTTTAAATATGATGAAAGAGATGGAATGGAATATTTCCAAACAATTAGATATGGCTTAATGCAATACTCCAAATCCTGTTGCTGTTTTTCCCTCTCACCCTTTTCTTCTTTTGGACTATTTTTGAGGATTTGATAGTGAAATTAATGGTAGATTCTCCCCCCCGCCCAAATAAATAAATGAATAAATAACTTAAATCATGTACCATTGCAATTCTTTTCATAATAATACACTAATTGGTGCCTTTCACGTCACATTGAGCACCGAGTGTTAGGGTTGATAACTTGATGGTGAAAACATTTCTGAAAATCATAATCCCACTTCCAATTCAAATGTTAACATGAGATAAGAGGTTATCTCCTTGATAGTTTGTTTGGATTAAAGGGTTTGATGAGGGGGGACAAAAATATAAAGAGAAATTTGTCTCTTATCACTTGCGTCATGATTAAGGAAATAAAAATTTATGAGAATAAAAAATTTCTTTAAAGGCTAGCCTGTGTTTGGCAAGTAGGTTTGCAGGCTTTTTTTGGCTATTTTAGCCACAAAAAATAAAATAGGCTATTTTAGCCATAACAAACAAAACATCACATCCAACCCATAATCATTACATTCTTCTTTCACAAAAAAAGTCAAAAAAGCCAAAAAGTCAAAAAGCCCTTCCCAAACCAAGCTTTTTAGCCCAGGCTAAAATAGCCAAAAAAGCCATCTCACAATCTAAATAGCCTTTGAAGATTATTATTATTATTATTATTATTATTATTATTATTATTATTATTTTATGTGTGATGTATTTAACCTTGTGAAACCGTTATTTTTGTTCAAAAAATGAGAAAATG